TCAATTTTTCTGATTTTTTTTTGCTTTTTATAATAGAAACATACCTCCAACCATCAAAATCAGATGAAATTTAAGTTGAATTTTTGTGATTTTTGTGATTTTTTATTCTTTTTTTCAAGAATAGCAATATTACTATAATGAATATTTAGGATGATTTAAGGGGATTTTAGGAGGAAAATAGATTATATTTTTATTATTTTACATGATTTTTCCATTTTTTACTTATATTTTTTAGATAAGAAATTAATCAGTGAGTTTTGGTAATATTTATGTTATGTTTTTGCAAATTATATTATATTTTTATTATTAATAAAATTATAATATTTAATAAATTTAATATTTTATAATTATAATATATAAAATTAGAATTACAATTACAAATTTATAATTATTAGATAATTTTTGTAATTATAATATATAAAGTTAGTATTATAATCAAAATTGTAATTATTAGATAATTTTTGTAATTATAATATAATAATTATATATTTAATATTAAATATAGAAATATTATATAAAAAAAATTATAAAATATAATAAAATATATAATTTATAATATAATTTTATTAACAATATTTTTATCATATAAATATAAAATTTATTTAATTTAAAAAATTTCTAAGTTTACATAGGTGTATGTATAAAGTTTATGTGATATATATATTTATCACTGGTATTATATCCCTTTGTCTTTAGTTTTTACTATTTATTTTAAGAACTTAGAATTTTTTTGGTGAAAAATTCTTATTTATCATTCATTATCTGTTACATAATCATCACACAGATAATTTTTTAATTTCTTTATGCTGATAAAAGTAATGTTAATACTAGCTGTATTATGTATTCATATACAATATACCTGTGTATAATAAAAATTACCTTAATTTAATTTATTTTAATTGTATTTTAAAATAATATATTATATCATATTAGTAATTATTATAATATATAATAAGAAATATATTTATATATATAGATAAAAAAAAATATAAAGTATAAATAGAAAATAATAATTATATATATTTAATTTTTAATAGTTTAGATAGTTTAAATTATAAATTATAAATAATAAAACGTAATTTAAAAATTATTATAATAAAAATTAACAAAATAATTAAAAATAATATTTAAAAAATTAAAAATCTATAATAAAGTTCTAATTTTTCTAATTTTTCTGATTATTTAATTATTATATTATTTTGATTTATGATATTTTTTATTTTTTATTATTTTTTCTTATAATTAGTATATAATTTTAAATTTAAACATATATAGAAAATACTATTATATATAGAAAAATTTCTAGAAAAATCAGATTTTTAAGAATTTTTGACTAAAGTTAAAAGCTTAATACATTTTAATCTAGTAATATTAAAAACTAAAATGTAATAAAAAATCACAATTTATTAAAAATTTGCAGAATCTGATTTTTTTAGCAATCAACCTATATAAGAAATATTATATATAAATTATATACAAATATTTTAAAAGTATATGAAAATTATATTATTAATATTTTATATACTACTTATTTAAAAGTTTAGAATCATCCTAATAATTTGTAAAAAGACATGATAAAATAGATTTATTTAATAAAAATAAAGAAATTTGTATTATAATAATAATAAATAAATATTAATCATTATACGTAATATTTTATTTTTTTCACTTTCTCTGTTAAATACAATAAAATAGTCAAAAAAACTATTAAATTTTAAGTATAAAAGAGTTATTAGTTTTCATGAAGCTAAAGATTCAGAAAGAATAATTTCAAAAAAACTGATTATAAAAAGATTACTATCTACAACATTATAGCAAAATTTTATAAAACAGGTATTTTAACTATTGCTTCATAGAGTGAATATCCAAAAAAATTAAATAAATATGATAAATATCATTTTAAAGTTATTTTGATTCAAAATTATTGTATATCAACAGAAAAGATTTTATTAAATCTGCTAAAAAAGAAGTAAGTAAAAGTGTTGTAAGACGTATTTTATATGAAATAGAGTATCATAGTCATACTGTTCTCAAAAAACCTTTTATGAGTAAATCTAACCAAAAATTCATTTGTCTTAGATTCACAAAGATGTTTTTAAATAATAAATAACTGAAAAATATTTATGTAAAATAACGAATCTAAGTTCATTTTATTTTAAAATAATAAAAAAATTTATGTATAGCAGCTTTCAAAAGAAAGTCATGATGTAAATTACCTTGCTTCAATTATAAAATATGGTGGTGGTAGCATAATGATATAGGGTGTTTTAGTTAGTATGGGTTAGGCCTTTGATAAAATTAATGATTAGATTAATAGTAAAAGATACTTACAAGAGTTCTTTAGCTATTATGTAATACTATTTTAGAGGCAATTTGAAGAAAAAAATAGTGTATTTTTCAATAAGACATTATGTCAATATATATAAGTTTTAAGATACAAACTTTTATAAAAGAAATAATGATAACTCAACTCTTATGACCAAGACAAAGTTTTAATCTTAATCTGATTGAATATATGTAGAATAAACTTTAATACTGTATTCAAGCAAAAACAAAAAGCCCAAAAATTAGAATCACTTCTTCAGAAATGCTGGTCACAAATTCAATATGAAGTCTATCAAAAACTTGTTAAAAGCATAAATTGTCAAATAAATCTAGTAATAAAGGCTTATGATTATTTTATAAGATATTGATAAAGATTTTTATTAAATTTTTAATAAAAATCTTTATATAAAATTAAATATTATTTTGTTTTTCTTTTAAAAAAAATATGATTTTTTATTAAATAATTTCAGTAATAAGCATAATTCTTAAATTTGCAAAATTATGAACTTAGGTTTTTTTATTAAGCTATCTATAATAATAATTTTTTGATAAAAATAATTTTATATAATACAGTTTATAAAAAAATTTTTATTATTAAGTTAATTAATTTTATTTATTTTATTAAAATTAGTTAAAAAATTATTAATATAATAAATCATCTAATAATTTATAAAATATTATTTAATTATGAAAAATTATAATATATTTAATAAAATTATTGTATTTAATTTTTAGTAATATAATAAAATACTGATTAATAAAAAATCATGATTTTTGTTAATTTATTAGATGATTCTGAACTTTTGAGTAAATAGTGTATATAGTTATACTAATAAAATTTATATATTATATTTTTTATTTCACATAATTATTATAATTATTATTTTTATTTCATGATTTATATTTATATTTTATTTTGTAAACTTAATTATTTAAATATAGTAATTAGTTAATTATAAAATAAATTTTATCTAATATAATAGTTTTACTTCAATTATCATTATAAATTAACTTAAATACAAATATTATTTACAAAATATATTTTTATTTTATATAATATATTATATAACTTATATTTAAATTTATTATTAATAAATAATTAAATTTGTTTTTAAATAAAAAATAATTATTATAAACAAATATTAGTATATTTTTAAAATTAGAAAAGAGAAAATAAATTTCTAAGATTAAAAAACTTTTAAGTGTTAATTACTTAGTAAATAATTAAATTTTAAATTAAATTTTCTAAATGTTAATATATATTTAATATATTTTTATTGTAATTTATATAATTTAAATTATTATCTAAAGTCTTTTTTTTTATAATTTATTAAATATTTTTAAATAACTCTTATTATTTTTAATTTTTTAAATTTAAAGTATAATAAAAATTATTATATTAATATACAGTATAATAAATATATAATATATTATAATTAGATCTTATTAAAAATACACACTTTCTTTAAATGCACTTTTTTCAAATTTTTCACTATGATCCGCATTTAGAGAGGTCTTACTTTATATAAAGTTTCTTCATTTTTATAATCTTTTATTTTTAAAAAAACTAACAAAAGTTATGGTTAAAATAAGAATTTTAATATAAAAAAATATTAATTATTAAATTACTCTTATAATTTCTAATTCCGAATTATCATTTTTATATTAAATTTATCTAAAATAATATATTATGCTTATGAATAAGATAATTTCATTTTACTTTTACTCTGTGTATATAAAACCTTAGTTTAAAATTTTTTTATTATAAAAACAACCGTAATAGTAAATTTTAACTATTAAATCTTACATCAAATGAGCAAAACTTAAATATAATTTTTTTTATATAATAAAACTGTATTTTCAAAGTACAGCAGAACGCCCTTCCCGGTCTATTATAAAATTTTTGAAAAAAATAGTTTTTTTTATATGTTTTAATATAGAATAAAATTTTTTAAATTGTTGAGTACATCGTTAATTATATCAAGCGTTCGCTATATATCGAATTCTGACCACCATTTTTTTTTAACTGTATGGTTACCAATCAGATTATTTTATCATAAATTACTAATAATAATTTTATTACCAAGTATAATTAAAAATAAATAGAAATCCGTAAAATAAATTGAAAAATTAGATACATCTCCGAAAGCTAAAAATTATTGTTTTTAAAACAATTTTTAAAACTCATGAATGAAATTTATCGATAGTTTACCACTAACAATGAACTTTAAATTTTTGGGACTATTTTTTTTCAAAACATTTAGCTAGTTAGCTTTATACAGTAAATAGTAAAGTTTTAATATTAATTTTATATATAAAAAGAGATGATATTTTGAAAACAATTGTTCGGGTGGGTGTATGATGTAATACCTATTATTTAAACTCCTAATTCTGTATAATAAATTTTAGTCATTATATGATATAACCTATTTTTTTTAAACAATCTTTTTGTCTTTTATCATTACTAGATATTTCTTGATAATTTTGTAATAATAATTGTATATATTAATTAAAAGAAATAGATCCAGTATATTACTAAATCTTTATAAATATTAGATTAGAGTATTTTAATTAATACAGGTAAAAAAAAAAAAAATGACTTAATGAATGATTTTTAAATGTAGAATAAAATTACTAAATGCAATGTTTTTTTTTTAAAAAATGATTTAAATAATTTAAATAATTTTAATTGTAACATCAGACCCTTCTTTGATAGTATTATCAAGAGAAACTCTTTTATCAGCAATGAAAGAAGTTGTAAGTAAATCACGAACTTCATCTAAAGATAATCTACGTGCTTCGGAAGCGGTAACTTCCTCAGGCCCAAATGGACGATTTTTAGAATTGTAAACCCAGTCTACAACAGTCGGTTTGGGATGTGAAGTAATTGTATTTAATTCACGTTTAAGGATACTAAAAAAAAAAAAAGAAAAAAGAAGATAAATGGTTAAAACGATGCATAAAAAAAGTAAAATAATAATAATAATAATGTATCTCTCGTCGAGTATTTACCCGCAGAAATCATCTAAATCCAAGTCGTTTTCATCATAACCGAAAGGATTTTCGATCTCTTCTCCAATTTGCATAATACCCATTAAGACAAGTGTCGCAAAGAAAACAATAGGAATAGTTACATATTTAACAGTATCAACTAATTGAAATGGTAAACTAAGACAATAAATCCAAACAGTTTGGCTTAAATGAATAGAATAAGCTAAAGGAATTGGACTTCTTAAAATTCTTTCAAATTGAGTTAAACAGTCAACTAAAGTATTTAAAGCACCGTACATGGAAGTTACTGATGGAGCATCAACTTTATCTTTTCTTCTTTGATCATCAATATAAGAAGAAATATAATGCGAAATTTCCAAAGGAAGGTTATGATTTATTGAAGGAGGTTTTTCATTCAAGGCAAATAATTTTTTACTAGTTCGTTTACCGGTTTTGATTTCATTTTCACTTAAATCTTGCTCATCTAAAGGTTTAAATCCTGGTAAACTTGTTTTGATATTTGAAATTAAAGGTTTAAGGTCGGCATATTGACTCCCTTCTTCTTCACGGAGATAATGTTTTGTTGCTACCGCGAATCCTAATAAAAGATTTATTGCCGTTTTCTTTTCTAATAAATCATTTATTTCATCATCACCTTCTTGTATGTTTACCCAAATATTTCTCGTTAAATTACGTATAGAGACAACCATTGTTGACCAAAGACGTCTTCCCTCCCAGTATCTAAAATGGAATAAAATAATCGTCACGGATGAGCCAAAACGAACTGCATTCACTCTTAAAAAAGTAAATAAATAATAAGGATTTCTTCTTACCTATCATAAGCGGTATTCGTTCTGTAGGTTAATAATAAACCAACAACGAAACCAAGTATAGTAATAAACGATGATTGAATACTTATTTTTATTCCGACGACTAATTGTATAATGCAAACAATGACGGCAATTATGGTGACCACGATTGTTGAAGGAAGGACTTTAGGGATGACAGAGCCTTTCCATCTTACAAAATGTGGTCGATGATAAGAATAAGGATTATACAATTTAGGTGCTTCTACCCTAGATATCGAATGTCTTCCCATCTTTTAATAATTGAATCGAAAATTTGAAATAAGATTTGTTTGTAAGTATTTATAAGATTTATAAAGTGTAAAGATTTTAAATTGTTCTTAAAGGTTTGTTTTTTTTTTTAAAAAAAAAAAGAAAAAGAGTTCAAAACTGATCCATTATATTCGAAATTTTTTAATTGTTAATCGAATTAACTATCGTATAAAGGTTTTATATCGTGAAACATTTAATCATAAACTTAAAATCATAACTCCGACACAGAAATGTTTTTAGTGGAATGTAATTTGTTACTCCGATAAACAACAATAAATATGTTGATTTTTTAATTATTTAATTGTTTAATTTCTCGTTAGACGCAGTAAAATAACTTTTAGGCCTTGTTAGCTGAAACACCATATGTTTGAAACCTAATTTTAACAACGATTTTTTAATATTATTGAACAACAAAAGATAATTCATTGCCTTTATTAGGTGCTTAGATGGAAAGATAATCAAAATTTAATTTTTCTCGGAATTACACGCCCATAATTATATTTTTGGGACCGTGGAGTAATTAGAATAGCATTGTCTGAACCGGAGCAATTTCACGGGTAACGCCGATAACTTAACAGCCATGCATTTTGACTGGTGGAAAATTTTTTCCACTAAATTGGCAAAATATCCAATTATGCTTACCATCGGCGATTATAAACCCACCTTACAAATTGGTTTCTATTTTTACAACTAAAAAAATGTATTTAATACCTTTTTTTTTTTTTCGTCAATTGTTAATATCTCCACTTTAAGGTTTTCTTCGATAGAAACCGTTCCTATAATTTTTTTCTAGTTTACTTTTTGCATTCGAATGAAAGGTTCATACATTTCATGCCGATATATACCCTATGGTTATATAGATTCAGTGATGAAGCTAACCCTTACGAGAAATACAAGGAGGAAAACGAACACTACGAATAATTGCAAAAATCAATGTAACATTGATGTGGGTAATTAAAGTTAAAAATAAAAAAGTGCTCAAACAATGTAAATTCGGTGGGTCAAATTTACCAGTCTAAAGCCACTAATCTATATTTGGATATTGCGCCAACGTGATCATTTTGAAAAATTTATATATTAAGTGGCCTGCACTACAAAGTTAAAAATCCAGCCAAATTTAAAATTTCATGGTAGATCAATCAATCATTTATAATCTGATCCTGAGATTTCCCCTAAACGAATTGTTGAAAGTTTATTGTATATGTTAAGGAAATATCAAAACAATGAAATGAATTTTTTACAATTGTCATTTGATTTCTGATTGTTTTATATAAGACGCCATCGATTCTTTTTCCTCAAACTTGTTTAAATTTTCTCGATACGATGATTTTTAAGATGTGTTTTTTTGGTAATTTATCTTTGAAAAATTATTATTTTTTTTGGTTATTGATCAAGTTAATCATAAAATAATTACCTTATTATGGAATGGAAATTTTTTTTTTTTTTAAGAAAACGTCAAACAATGGGAAAAAAATTATCTTTTTTCACGTTCACGTTAACAGTTTATTGACAGAATAAATATCCTAAATGATGATCTAAAAAGACAATTATAATAATACAGAACAAGTTATATATGTTTATTTTTTTTATTTATATAAACCATCTCTTCTGATTTTCTCGGGTTTTTAATTACCATATATCTAGTTTATGATTCATTTTGTTTTACTTTATGACGCAACATAATATCATTATTAAATGACTAATATAAAAGACTAAATTTCAGAGTATAAAAAAAAAAAAATCCCGTGTTTATAAATGATCGTTCCTGAAATTTATTAAAAAGTTTTCGTAGAATTTTTACATAATTCAAAAAAAAAAATTTTTTTTTTGTTTTATTTAAAAAGATTTTCTAGCCGCAAGAATATTTCTTACCTCGTTCCCCTTTTTGTTTAATTTATAGCTTTATTCTTTCTTTTTTCCTTTATTTATACTTTCAGACGTTCGTGTTTTACTTTTATTTATTTATTTTTTTTTTTTGAGATCTCAAAACCGGTAAGTTATTGGATTCTTTGAAAATAATTTTTATCATCTTTTTACGAGTTTTTTAAGCTTGTTTAAACTAGTTTCTAACATAAAATGAACTTTGAATTTCCTTAACTCATGGTCTTGACTATACCGGTTTTTGTCTATTATTATCAGAGAAGGTACGCGTTATTTTATCATGAATACAATTCCTTACGGTCGTAAGCAAGGTAAAGTCAAATTCTTTAACTGTCAGAAAGGATATGGATTTATCATTCCTCATAACCTTGGACTTGGTGAAAAGGTAGAAGGTGAGAATAACAAAAATTTTTTAAAATCAAGATTTTATGATTACTTGCTTAATTTATACTTGTGCAAAATTATTTTCCTGTTTTGATTAATAAATTGGCGTTTTAGAAACTTAAAATTTTGAGAACTTATTTATTTTTTTGATTATTCCAAAAAAAGTAATAATTGTTCTAAAACGTGGCGCAGAGCAATCTAGTTTTTTATCTCGATCAAAAAAATGATGTTTGGCCTGTGCACACGATTTTCTTATGTTGTACCAAAATTTTTGCATATCTTAACTCTCTTCAATCATATTAATATATTTCATATTTGTGAACATTTTTTATGCTCTGTAATTCTCTGTCTATCTGCTTTATTTTTTTTTTTTTACTTTATATGTGGTGAATTTAATTTATTCAAGTTTTTGTGCATCATACTGCAATTCATAACAATGGTGGTTTTAAGAGCCTTGCTGAGGTATCAATAAGTGCAAATTCAGTCCATTAAGTATACTTTTTTTTCTTCTACGTTTTCTATTCCTAATATGTCATCTCCACTTCTTTATATATCCACTTTATTTTCCATGTCATCGTTCATCCGAATTCGTTCTTAATTCCGTACCTTAATTCATATTCCAAGGGAGAAGATGTAAGTGGTTTCATTATCTATCAATTTGTCATGTTCATAGGTATATCTGTCTTTAACTCTTATTATATTTTACAGGTGGAATTTGACTTGATCAAAGGTCCAAAAGGCCTTCAAGCCGCTAACGTTAGTGGACCGAATGGAATTGCTGTTAAAGGGGATCCGAATGCTCCTGGCAATAATAAAAGAATTGTTACAAAGTAAACCATCTTTTTTTTTTAAAAAAAAATATATATATATATCTCTCTCTCAAAATTGGGTATGGAACTTAAAAAAAGAATTATTTAATTTTCAAAAAAAAAAAAAAATAATTTTAGCAACAATAATTTTATCGGAACAACCTATAATTACCTTGGTGTTGATGTGAACCGTGCTAATTATAACAACACCGGTGAGCGAATATAATGCGATTGCAGGAAACGATCTTTCTTTTATTAATATTCAATCGTTTACTAGGTGGATATGGAAATCGAATGGGATTGAATCAGCCTTACCACGCATTGCAATCAACCTATGCTCCATATTTTCAACAGCAATTGTCCCATTTCGCATCTCAGCAACCACTGTTTGGGACACAACAATTTACCAGTTATACCGCCCAAACGTACGGTAATCCGACAACCGGTCAACAATCCAGTTTGAATAATAATTCTGTATCGCAACCTAATCTCGCGTACGCGACGCAACCCATATTTCCTAATTATAATAGTACTATTAATAGCGCTAATCTTACTTGAATGATCATAGTACAAATAGTCTACAATTTCCATTTATATATATTTATATATATATAATATAATATATTTCTTAATAGAACATTCATTTACTTCAAAAAAAGTAATTGCGTATTCTAAAGTTTTAAATAGGTTAAATTAATATTTGTCTTTACTCGTATTGGTCGTATTTTGCAAAAAGTATTATCGGGTCTATGACAAGTCATTACGAAAATAAAACCCTTAAATAGTTCTACTATCGTCACCTATTTAATTATTTTAAATTTCGAACTAATCAATTTATATTATTAATGTTGGAATAAATCCACTAATAATTTTTATGATAACTCCTTTTTTTTTAAAAATAAAAAATTACAGGAATCTTATACATATAAATAAGTAAAAAGGTTATTATAGATGAAAATTTTTAGATTATTCGATTTTTTCTATATTTGTCATCAAAATTAAAATGTAAATAAAAAAATCTAATTAATTCTCCCAAAATTTCGTTAAATATTATAAAGCGATATTGTAAGTGTTTCATTTATGTCTGTCTAATTATGACGATATTTATAAAATATAAATCATATTTTATGTAAAATATTTTCTCATCCAAGTTGTTACTTGATCAAATACTACTAATAAGATACCACCCCCAGGTCCAAGACGAAGTACTTTGGGAACAAATCCCTTATAAAGAGCGCCGAAACTACAAAAAAAAAAAAGATTAAAAAAAAAAATAATAAAATTTTAGATATAAAGCTTAATGAATTACCCTTCTTCTTGCGCAACAGTTTTGATAGCAGGTATCGTCCAATTATATTTTTTAACAGTACCAGAATCATTTTGAATTCTAGTTTTAACTACATCAAATGGTGTATTTAACATTGTACCTATTGTACCACCAATTGCTCCTGCGATAAAATTATTTCTTAATTGTTGTTGTTTATTCTTTAAAAAAAAAAATAAATAAATAAATTTTAAGTAATTTCGAAAATAATCAATTACGAAGAACATTATCATTTTTAAATAATATTTACATCTGCTTTTGGTAATGCTTTTCTAATACTGAAGATGCTGCCGAAATATCCACCGTTCCACGTGGCATGACGCCATACTGTAGCCTCTAATCCGTTGAATAAAGCAAGAGGTCCTTCATGTCTAACAATCTTTGTTATTGCATCAAAAGTACCATTGTATTTTCCTGCCTATTTTATTTTAATCAATAAAAAAAAAAGATTTAATATAAAAAGAAAAAAAAAATATTTCCTTATTTGTAATAAATAAAACTTACATTTCCTTTATCCTGAAGGCGAATCTTAACAAGTTCAAAAGGTACAATTACAACAGCTTCGGTACACCCGGCAGCAATACCCGCTTGAATAGATAATGACTGATCCATTTTATCTTTACCATTAATTGATTTGAGTATCCTAGAATATTGTTCATTAGCAGAAAACTTTATCGCTCTTTTCGGTGCTTCAACAAGAATTGGAGGAAGTATTCCTCGATAAAGTCGACTAAATCTATTGATCGATACACCCCACAAAAAGGAATTTAGTTTTCCAACGATTTAATAAGAAACATAAATGTAATTGAAAAATTTAATGATTTACCCTTCATTTTTAATGATTTTCTTGAAACAATCCAAGACTGAAGTATAAACTTCTTCTCCCGCGCCCGATCCAACTTGTAATTGAAACCTCGTCTTTACGACTAATTATTGTAAAAGTTCATGATTATTTATGGGCCAAAGTATTTAATGGAGTATTGATTGATATCTTACCATCGAGCGGATACCTATTATTTAGGATTGTTAAATTAATCAAAACTTTAGAATTCAATCTGATTACATGTACCCTAAAAAAATGGATATGTTAACTTACATAACAAGAATTTCACTTGTTCCCGCTATACCTCCAGCGGCAAAGTGAAATAAGAAGGGAAGAGCTAATGATAATGAATCATAATAAATAAATATAAATAAATAAATATATTTGCAAGTAGAAAAAAGATTTTTTTTGTTTTTTTTTTATTTTTTATTTTTTTAAAAAAACGTCATTGAATTACACTCTTTAGAAAATAACCAGGGCTTTCACAACTCACGTTTTTCAGTTTTGACGGTAACGCCAGGAGTAGCGGTAGTAGCGGTTGCCAAGGGAGTAGGGGGCGCAGCAGCCATAATTTTGTTTCGATGTTTTGTCTCGAGAAAAAAAAATATATATATACAGTATAGATATATATGTATACAGTATATATAACCGAGGTAATATATAATTTTTTTTTTTTTTTTTTTTGATGATAAGCCTAGAAGATAATCAAGCACATGCAAATACATGTATTGATAATCAATTATGCTACACGTTATGTAAATTCAAATCTTTAGATTGAATTCATTAGATCTTTCCTTATCTATATAAACAATGTTTGTAAGCGAATTTTTTCACCCGCTTCCTTATTTGTTAAATAAGAATCTCAATCTTTTTTATTTATTTTTTTTTCAAATAATTTATAAATTATGATAATGACAAAAAATAATCTTGAATACGAAGTATTTACAACATCATCTTCCACAAAAGATAATTCATTATCATTAACACGTAATGAATCAAGAAGATTAAAAAGGATTCAATTAAAAAAGTTACAGGCGTATGAAGTTATCGAAAAGATTGAGAATGCTCCTGTGAAAGAAATTTTTTCCTTAGAACAAACACCATATTTATGCTTAACTAACGTTTGTTTTGGGGGGATTGGGGGTGTAACGACAGAACAATTATCGAATATTTTTAAATCGTTTAATGGTTACCTTGGATTAAAGTTAACACATGGCAAGGTAATAGTGATCGATTATCCATTTTTTTGATTTGTTTCAGATAACTTTGATAATTGTTGTATACCGAATATTTTTTTGTTACAGCCATATTCATTTATCATATTCAATACACCTTATGATGCATTTCATGCAAGAGAAGCACTTCATGAGAAATCATGTGATGCTCTAAACGGGAAAATCATGTTTATTGAATACGTTAATTTGAATTATCAAAATTTTATAAAACAAATCAAGAATTCGGATAAAAGTGATATTCCAGGTTTAATGCTAATGGAAGAATTTATTACGATTGAACAAGAAAAAGAGATTTTACAAGAATTATATTCAACCAAATCAT